TCTCCAAAATAGTAATTTTATTAAGAGTTTACAAATGTAGGTAAATGTTGTAGAACAACCTGTTAAAATACACCAAAATGCAGGAAATGGCATCTCTGTTATTCAGCATGTCCTGTGAGAGGACCCATGGACCCCCACCCCCCACCCCCACTGCCTGCAGTTCCGGCATCAATCAGTTTACAAATTAAGCCCTGGAGCTACTTAATAATAATAATAACACAAAATTACCTTTTGCTTACAGAAGATACAGAGCAGTGCCGTACCAAAGACAAGAGCCACATGAAATGGATCAAGTTTCAAGAAAGGAAAAGAAGATGGGTCCTGGACCAGAAGCTGGAAAAAACCATAAGAGAGAGAGACGAGTTAGAAATTATGAAAATAAAATTGAACCAACAAAGACAAGAGGCTGATAAAAAACATGGAGATTTTAGGACTATAATTATGACAGTGGCAAAGATAAAAGCTACAATGGAAAAAACTGCAGTAGAACTTAAGACCACCAGTGAAGAAATATTCAGCGCTCAAAGAAAGATGGAAAGCAACAGTGAGGAAATAAAACAACACAAGGTAAGTTCTTTTTCTTTTGTTTGTAATGGGGAGGTGATCTGTGCTTTTGAGCTTTGAAGTACTGATTATGGCAGCCATATTAAACCCATCAAAATGTTTACCAGCAAATACATTGAGGTGGAAGTGCTTGTTTTTTGCTGTGTTCAATTCTGACAATTTTTGAAACAAACATTTTTTTGCTCCCGTTTTCAAATCAGCATAATTTTAGTCTTTTGACTGACCACACACAGTATGGTTTCTGATATGTATCTGGATGCTTGTGTAATTTGGGCTGTGTGTTGTAAAGATGTTGTTATCCTGGACATGGCAAACTCTATTACGTTTTAGGTGACTTGGCTCATTTTCCTGTTATTTTGAGGATGTTTCGCTTCTCACCCAAGGAGTTTCTTTGATTCAAATAGAAAAATGCAGACTTCAATATTTAAAATGGCAGTGAGCTGCTCTTGTTTATGCAAGCTAAACTCATGCAAATCCCTTTTCCTCTCCGCTCCCCTCTGTCTTGTGGTCATGATGGATTTTGCTGGCTTGATCCACATGAGAGATGTTTTGGTCACATGCATGAAGATGTGAATGGCTGCAAAACTGCCTGAAGATTAAATACTGTTACGGCGGGAGCTGACTGCGGGTCACCAGTCACTGCAGCTAGCTGCTGCTAGCCTTGGGCCTTAGGCCTCATCTCGGACCCAAGACCCGCCTCCAGCCC